TTAAAACTCTAAAATCAACCACAAGTAGTTTGTTCAGTTGATCACTTAAAGAAAGAAAGCAAAGGAAATGAATATTGCATACAAAACACAAAAGCTAAAAACTGTAACAAGAAGTGTTTTCAGACTACAACCCGACCCGGGCCCTCAGGTCATCAAGTGAAGGTCTGTTAGTCATACCAAGAATTAGTTCAAAGTCTGGAGAGGGGACCTTTAGTTACTGTGGTCCTTCTACCTGGAACAAACTACCTGCTGACCTGAGGTCCATAGATAAAAAGATACATTTATTTGACAAAATTTAAACACATAAATGACAGGCTGATGATATCAGACTCCATATAAAGAAAAATAAACTGTCGAGGATTAAAATACAGAAAAAAGCCAGAGGGCTTATTTCCATTGTTGTCCTCTATCACAGTACAAGACGGCAGATCAAATAAGGTGTCAGGCAAGAGTGACATCAGACTAACACAAAACAAATTAATGAAAAATATATATAAAAAACAAAACAATGTATAGATCTACAAATTATTTAACAGCCATTTCGTGAGATCGGACTTAAAACTCCTCTCAACTGGGATTGTCTCAAGGAAGATGGGCAGCTTGTTCCACTGGGATGTGGCAGTATTTAAAAAGATATTTTACCCAGAACAACTTTTGTATCTCATAGGAATGAAATGTGTCGAGCTGCCTCTAGTGTTGTGGGTGTGGATGTGTCTAACTGGATTTATACACGATCTTATGTGTGTTACCCATCTTGATTTGCACCACTCTTTTATCCACAGTTAAAAGATTCAATATTTTAAAATGAACAGCATCCAGATGTGTCCGGGGGGACAGCTTCAAAACAACTCTTATTAGCTTATTTTGTGCAGTCTGTAATTTGTTTTTTAGAGACTGTGATAAACTATTGTACCAGAAGGTGGCAGCATAATCAAAGTGGCTGAAAGCCAATGCTCCTGCTAGTGTTTTTAGGGCTGGTATATCCAATAATTCAGCTTTTCTTGCAAAGAATTTTGTTTTATTGTAAATTTTACTGAGAGCTCTTAAGACCATATTCTCCCCTGATTAAATATTATCCAGAACCCATCCAAGGTAATTTACAGACGATTTTCATAAAATGAATGTCTGACCAATCTATTGAAATCAGGTGATTTTCTCAATTTGATTTGTGACCCTAGGAGGATGGCCTCTGTCTTTCCTAAATGAAGGGAAAGTTTGTTATCTGAGAGCCATCTCACCACCTTTTGAACCTCTACACTCAAAGTGTCTTCCATAACTATTTTATCTTTTTGGGATACTAATAATGCAGCATCATCAGCATATAAAAATATATCATATGAACAAGCTGAGTGAAGATAATTGTTATATAATAAAAACAATAAAGGCCAGAAAAAACTCCCTTGTTACCACAAGTAACAGGTTTTGGATTGGATAATGTCCCATTGACATCTACCCTTTGTTATCCATCAGTCAGATAAGATTGAACCCACCGAATGGCCACATCATTAAAACCCAAAGCTTTTAGTTTGCAAATCAAAATGCTATGATCAACTGCGTCGGATGCCTTTTGCAGGTCTAACATAACCATTCCACAGAGTTTGCCAAAGTTCATTTCTTTTCTTATTTTGTCTGTCAGAAACAACAGGCATGATTCAGTCGAGTGAGATATTCTAAATCCTGACTGAAGATGGAATAAAATGTTGTTGCTTTGGATGTACTCCTCAATCTGTACATGAATGATCTTTTCCATTACTTTTGACACACCACATGAAATCCAAACTGGTCTGTAGTTCCCCCCATCTATCTGACTACCCTTCTTATAGTGGGGGGGTGAGGGGGAGAACTTAGACACTCTTAAGCTCTGTTGGAACATTACCATGTTCTATTGACATATTTATTATATGGGTCACAGATGGAGCAATAATAACTCCAGAGTCTCTAAGAAACCTCGCTTAAATGTTATCTAAACCTGTAGCTTTACTAGGATTGAGTTCCTGCAGTCTCCTAAAGACCTTACTATCACTGACTTCACAAAAAGAAAATCATCCTGTCTGAATGCCGTATTGTGAGTAATGCCTCTGCACCTGCTCCTCATTGAATACACCCGAGTGATCAGGGAGCTTCTCTACTAGATTTTCAGCTACTGTAGTAAAGTAGATATTTAAATAATCAGCCACCTCATTTTTGTCTGAGGTAACTTTACCGTTCACCTCCAAACTGAGCCTAACAGACCTTGTTTTTCACTTTTTGCTATATCCCAGGTCCCTGAGAGCCTTCCAAAGTTTTCCTGGATCCTTTTTATGTTCAACGATCTTTTCTTTGACGAAAGATTTTTTTGCATTGTTAATGAGCCTTTGAGCATCATTGCGCAAGCTCTTATATTGAATAAAATCACTCTCATTTTGGTTCTTCTTAAATTCTTTAAAAGCTGAATTTCTTCATGTAATGACCTTTAAAATATCATCTGACATCCAAGGCTCAGTTCTTTGCTTTATTCTGATGGTTTTAGAGGGTGCTCTGTTATTCACAGCTTGAAGAAAACTTGATTTAAAAAATAACCCAGGCTTTGTCAACAGTGTCACAATTCATAACTTCAGACCAGTTTACAGTTCTCAAGTGTTCACATAGAGCAGATGGACTGTAATTCTTAAGGCTTGCGGATGTCTGTATTCATGTCCCCGGCGATTATGACCTCTGATTTTGTAAAATCAACAGAGTTATTGCATGTTTCCTCCAGCAGCTCGTAAAAATGATACTGGTCCGGTGGACGATAGCAGGCCCCGACTAAGATGGGTTTAGTTTTGGGTAGTAAAACATCCAGCCATACTGCCTCGATTAGGTCGTTATTCAAGTCAGATCTTGCATTAAAAGCCAAATGCGATCTGATATAAACACACAGACCTCCTCCTTTCCTGAGTCTATCTCTTCTTATCGCGGTATAATCTTCTGCATCACAAACGAAGGCATCCAACCATGTTTCAGAGAATGATAAAATCGCCACTCTACTCTGAAGGCAGAGATGGCGAAATTCATGTACCTTTGGAATAAGACTCCGGATGTTGAGGTGTAGCAGGTGAAGTCAACTCTGTGCAAACACAGAATTCAAGTCACTGAGTTCGATGTTGTGCGTCTCTGTGGCATCTGAAGTGCAAGTGATCCTTTTGCCGCTGTCTCACTTTCTCTAGTTGGTGTTGCAATGCCATCCTCGTGTACCATGGGGTGTGAGAATTCAATCCTGGATGATTGTAATGGTAAAGGTGTCTCTACTTTTAAAGCTAAACTTAAAACCTCTGTTCTCTCAAGCATACGAATAATTAGTCTTTGAGTATGTGTGTGTGTGTTTTTTGTTTTGTCATGATTGTTGAGATAACCATTTGTCTCTTGTATTCCTGTTTTTATCATCAATGTAGAGCACATTGAGCTCACCTATAATGAAAAGTTCTTTATTAATAAACGTTCTATTCTGTTTATCAGCTCCTTTACGGTAAACAAGACGAGGGTCCTGCAGACCCATGTGACACGACTGAAAGGAGACACTTCAAAATAAAAGCACGAAAAGGATAGATAGATAGAATGCAATGTGATTTTGCCTGTATTAAATTGCACATAAAAGCATTGTCTTCATAGGTGACTGAAATTATTTGTAACCCTATCCAGACATTGATTTCATGTGCAAATCAAAACATGGAAAGTCAGTAAAAAGTCCACGATTCATACTGATGTCCACAACAAGCTTTAATCTTCACAGAAGACACATCATGGAGACACCGTGAAAACTAGAACAGACAAGACAGTTTTTAGCCTTCAGCTAAAATCACTTCATATGTCAAAAGGTAAATTAAACGTTATGTAAAACAATATTTACCGTGTTCGCCTGCTGACCAACGCTTAGGAATGAAGAAGGACGGGATAATAAAGTTCTCTGCAGAACCCGCGATTTCTATCTCTCTCAAAGTCCGTGCTGCTGTACGTAGTCTAGCTTTCCGGTCAATAATGTCATGTGACATTCAAAGAAACTTTATCGACACGACAACATAACAAACAGAAATAAAAAGATCTTGACTAATAAATTACTGAATTAACAGTATAACCTGCTTTTTAAGATTGCATTTAAAGGAAAACAAATAAACAATCATATTAAATAAAAGTCAAGCTTTTAACTTCATGTGTTGCTATGGCAACCTATTTAACTCAAGCAGCGCCAGCGACAGTCACATTGCATTCTGTTGTCTGATCCAAGTTTGACCATAGTTTACTTTAAATGTTTACAGTGAAATTTTCCCACATTTATTATTACACTGATGGACCATGTCTAGTATCGCTATCTATGTAGTCTTTTGTCCTGCTTTTATTTTGAAGGGTTTTCCTTTAGTCCAGTGTCACATGGGTCCGCACGACTCGCTTCTTGTTTACTCTGAGTAGTCCTTTATTTCTGCAGCATTGAACTCAACTACTTTAGCTATGTTAGCTAGCATCACTGAGTGTTGCTGTATCTGTACCTAGAGTGTCCACTGTTCCAGTTAGCTGGTTTATAGTGTTCAGGACTTCGTTCATTCCTTCCCTACCTTCCTCTGACCCAGTGTCCTTCTTTTTAGTTGCTGGTGGGTTCTTCGCTGGAGAGAAAGGCTCTTTTCTTTTGGAGCTCTCGGTAGAGACCTCCATCTTAGCATCATCATGGCCGTAAATCTCCGAGCTACTGCGGGCTGAAGAGAGCTTCTTGTTCGTCTTCATGCTGCAATTTCCGGAGCACTGTAAGGTTAAAGCGTCGGTATGATGTATTAGAGATTCATACGATCACACAGAATTGAGGTGGATTTTAAAGTATGTGTAAAATTGGGACAAGCAGACGGAGCTCAGAAAATACGCTGCACACGGTCCGCCATCTTACCGGAAGTCAGAAGAAGAAATAAAGGATATTGCGTTTATTTCCGGTTGTTTCTTAGCGCGTGTGTGTCTGTGTTAACGTTGTAGATGTTCTGTAAAGGGAACTAAAGCGGGTTGTTTCCACCCGGACCATTGAGTGTGTAAACGCTCCTGCTGAGCAGACACGTGATTCTCCGTGTGTTTATTAATGATCGTTAGGGTGCTAACGTAACAGTAGATGATCAGAGTAAAGTTGTAAAGACGTCAGCGCTGAGTTGAGTTTCCCCTCTGTGACTCTTGGATGTGTGTAAGATGGCCGGGTTTAAGGATCTTAAAGAGTTATTCAGTCGACGGCTGCTCGCTGCGGTTATCAGAGATATAACAGAAGAAAGAACAACAAGTGGATACGAAGAGGAGCTCCACCGACAAAGAAAACTGCTGGATGTGATTTTAACTCCTGAAATCAAGCTACAGAGAACAGGTTGGTTTTCTTTCCACTGCTGGAAACGTGTTTCCTGCTCATGTTTCAGATAGCAGAGCCTTTAGCTAACTTCCACAGACGCACACAGCACAGTGTTAGCTGCAGCTAGCTCCTGCTAACAACATCATTGAGTTTACTGGACTAAAAGACTCTTTAAGTCTTCACCTATTGAATCCAGCAACGGATCTGGTTATTGGAGATACGTTTTAGAAACCTTAACAATATGCTATTCAGTTGTATCTTTGGGCACACAAACTTCAGGCCACCCTCTGCATCAGACTGCGGTCAAGCCAGCCTCCACTTCAGAAACGATAGTTTATTCTATCTTCTTTACACGACGGCATCATGTCATTTCTGTCTCTACATGGTCGTTTACCATTCTCCTCTGCTCTCTGTGTCACACACGGCGGAGTTTCGGCCCGATGCCAGAGCCAGCCCTAACCATGTTGGTGCTCTAGGCAAGATTTCAGCAGTTGCCCCTCATATTGCAGACAGTTTGACCACCAAAGACAATAGTCATCAACTTAAAGAAAACTGGCATACAGCTTTATATTTAATAGAATGTCTTTATTTAAAAAATATAAAATACTTATAGACAAACATTTACAAAATGGTAATAACAATAATATTTCCTATAAGTAAATACAAAATAAAATAAATACAAATAACTAGTGAAAGAGAACAAAGAATATCAACCAGTGCAGGGAGCAGAAGTGGTCACAGACGGCCCAGGGACGGCAGGGGATGGATTAAAATGTTTTATGATTGCATCTGGAGAGAGAAAATGAGCATTTGTTAAACAATCTGCATTTCATAATATAGTGTGAACACAAAACATTATTTTCTGTTCAGAGCAGTACAGAAACGTCAGCATAGTTTTTCAGGTGAGCCCAAACGTTTTCCTAACAACCAGACCTACAGCATGCAAACATATCTATACAGAGAGGACTTCATGCACAAAATGCATTAATGCTCTCAGACATCGATACTGTAAAGGCAAGAGCTTAAAACTATTAATGACAACAGGAGGACGAAAATAAACATTTTAATCAATGAGGGTGAAAGCTAACTAAGTAAGATGTCAATAAATATAAAAGTAGGTTTTGTGTCCCAAACAATATAGCCTACTATACAAAAGAAGAAGTGTATTTCTTACACTGGTTATTTTCTTAACATGAATAATCTTAACCTAATAAAAGTACAGTGGAAATAACTGATGTTAACTCGAGCTAGGAAACACTGACGTTACTATCATCATCAATAACAAGCTAGCTTAAATACAACAGATAAATCATTGATCTGTGCAGCACGTTACCTCTGTGTCTTTTTCACATTTTCCTCCTCTTCTTCTTTTTCGTCCCTGGGCTCCGAAGGGCTTTGTTGTTGTTTTTTAATCAGTGTGGTCAGTGTCACTCACTTCTAATATGTTACCTGCCCTCCTCCTCCACAACGAGCAGGTAACGATCAGCTGTGTTGTGATGCGCAGGGCCAAGCAGGAGGCAAGAAAGTAGAGCCTTTTTAAATGTGATAGTTGTGTTTTCATGGCTTCTTTTGGATCATAACTAAATCAAAGCATGAAAATTATATTAGATGAATAATATTTAATGATATTTAAACGCATTTTTCCTTCTATTTCTTCTTCTTACCTTCAACTTTTCTGCCTCACTTATTTGGGGCACCAGCGGCGCCCCCTATGGAGGCTGGCGCCCCCTATGGAGGCTGGCGCCCCCTATGGAGGCTGGCGCCCCTAGCATTTGCCCACACTGCCTATGCCACGGGCCAGCCCTGCCCAATGCACACACACACACAGGTGAGCACACTTTCACCAGCGGAGGCCTGGGTGTGCACAATAATAAAAAGTCCTTAAGAACCATCAGAAAATAAAGTAGGCCGCTTATCTTACTTCAGACTTTTCTGGGCATGTCTCTCTCTCTCTGCCGTTACTCAGGAGATGCGCTGTGACCATGCTGCATTCAGGGGTGCTCAGACAATGAGAGATGCATTCAGGTGCGCTCAGAAAAGGGAGTTGCAATAACAAAAACTAAGCTGGACAGACCATTACAAGTTGAAATAATTGTTTTGACTGCTGTCATTAAAAGAAACACATGAACACCATGATCCCTTTAAGTGTCTGTGTCCCCCCCCCCCATGGTGTTTTCATGAATAAATTAAAGGAATCTTCTTTCTTCAGTCTCAATTTGTAAAATAAATTGTGAAAGAATTGTATCGTGAATCGTATCGTGAGTTGAGTGAATCGTTACATCCCTACATCAAAGTGTGTGTAAGAACGTAGTTTAATAACAAAAAGTCTCGATTTTTTTATATTAAAAAAAATGCAACTAGTGTTGCAATTTCCGTTGCTTCTGCAATTTAATTGCAAAAAAACTCTCTGTTGGACACATATCTTATTCTTTCCTAAAGATTGAGCTAGCTCAGCACTTTGGTGTGTGAAGAGGTAGTATCTGACATAATCAGGAAGTGATCAGCAGCACATGGCTCATTTACATAACGCCAGCCTTTCTGTTCAACATACTGTCTGATCATATTCGCCGTTTTGGAAAGGTGCCACAGGTCGGATTCGAACCTTGGCTGCCCGCTCTCCAGGACTTAATGATTATGATAATGAGAAACCTCAATCTTCACAGCCTTAGACAAGTTCCTTATTTTCTTTCAAAATAAAAGTAGGTTTGTATCCAAAAAGGAAGTAAAGTAACCTAAGCTTAAGGCATTACAAAATAAAAGCATTAAAAACGTTTTTTAAATGCAAAATGAGTGAATTCCAAACATGATTAAAATGTGATCAATTCAAGTGAACTATTGATTTTCAGCCTTTAAAAATGAAATCATTTGACAGCCCTTATTAATATTTAAAAAGCAGTTTAAGGGGAGACAACAAGAGACAAACAAATGAAGGAGAAAGGAAGTGGGTGATCAGCTGGGGGAGTGTTAGATGAGGCTGAATGCTTTGGTGAACAGGTGGTGTTAGAGGAGGTTGAAGCAGTGCAGATTTTGGCGGGGAGAGAGTTCCAGAGGGTGGGGGCTGGGGCACTGAAGGCTCTGTCAGCAGTTTGGTGTGGGGGGTGGAGAGCAGGCCTGTGGCTGAGGACCGCAGCTGTCGGGACGGGGTGTAGGGATGGAGGAGGTCGGTGAGGTATGGTGGGGCTAGACCATGATCGGGAGCCAGTGGAGGTGAATGAGGGTGGGGGTGATGTGCTGCGAGGGCTTGGTGCGTGTGAGGACCCTGGCAGTGGAGTTTTGGACATATTGGAGTCTGTTCAGGGCAGTATTTGGTAGCCCGAACAGAACTCCATTGCAGTAGTCCAGGCGTGAAGTGATGAAGGCGTGAATGAGGGTCTCTGCGACGGGGTCGGGAGTGAGGGACCGGAGTCGTGAGATGTTCTTGAGATGGAAGAAGGCGGATTTGGTGATGGACTTGATGTGGGATTTAAAAGAGAGGGTGGAGTCCAGGATGACGCCTAGGTTACAGACCTCGGGTGAAGGGCGAATGGAGCAGTCGTCCACAGTGAGGAGGAGATCTCCAACCTTCCTGGGCAGTGCCTTGGGGGCCACGACCATGAGCTCAGTCTTGCTGCTGTTGAGTTTTAGGAGGTTGGAAGACATGCAGGTTTTGATGTCCTGCAGGCAGTTGACTAGTGACTGGGGAGGGGGGGGGCTTAGTGGAAGGAAGGGTGCTGAGGTAGGGTTGTGTGTCATCGGCGTAGGAGTGGAAATTGAGACCATGTTGGCGGATTATCAGACAGAGGGGGAGCATGTAGACAGTGAAGAGAAGAGGGCCAAGCACAGAACCTTGCGGCACTCCTTGGTTAACTGGGGCTGGGGTGGAGCTGGAGTCGCTGATGGTGACAAACTGTTGCCTGTTGGAGAGGTAGGAGTGGAACCAGGAGAGAGCTGGACCAGAGATGCCAAGGTGTTCAGATAGGCGGTTGAGGAGGATGGTATGGGAGACTGTATCAAAGGCTGCAGAGAGGTCTAGGGGGATGAGGATGCTGATGGAGCCGGAGTCTGCTGCGATCTTTTTATTCCACTTAGAGCAGTTCTTCATCCTCGTCATCCTTCTCTGGGCAATCAAATAACTGAGCACTTCCAACACGTGTCACCAAAAAAGGACATGATCTGGCGTGTCATCCTTCACATGCTCATCTACTGATGTCCCTGCTAACAGTGAGGTCATTTTTTCAGGTGTGACGCCGCAGGTTGTAAACGTGTTTATTACACGTGTTTAAAATCCAGACAGTCTTTTTTCCATATTGATGATCATATGATGCTTCCACATTTAGGATGCATTAGTCATGAATTCTTGCCTACAAGCTTTGAGTGACACCACCATGTGTGTGCCTGTGCTCCATCTGTGGAGAAACTGTGTCTGGGAAACAGGCCAGATAAAGGCCGGTCTCCATAAAGTGACCTTAGTTGTCATGGTAACGGCCAGCCCTATCAGTGCAGCTGTGCTTCTGTCAAAACAGTGAGGGAATAACAGTGAACACAAGCAGAGGTTACTGTGCTCCTGGAGAAGCCTGGGACCTGGACATATGTTAGTTGCTCTGGAGTGGAATGCTTCCGATACTTTAAATGGTAAAATACACCTCTAGTGGAATCAATTAAGAATGATCTTCTGGGGGCACTGATGGCCTAGTGGTTTGTTAACGCCACCGAAGTATAGAGACTACAGTCCTCAAAGTGGGCCACCGAGGTTCGAACCCTTGGCTCTTTTCCCGCATGTAACCCCCCCCCTCCATGGTCCTCTCTTTCTCTCCCCTGTCCTCTCTCTCTCTCTCTCTCCCCACTGTCATCTCTCTTTCTCCACTGTCCTGTCTCTCTCTCTCTTTCTCCACTGTCCTGTCTCTCTCTCTCTTTCTCCACTGTCCTCTCTCTCTCTCTCTCTCTCGCTCTCTCCACTGTCATCTCTCTCTCTCTCTCTCTGTCTCTCTCTCTCCACTGTCCTCTCTCTCTCTCCACTGTCATCCCTCTCTAATAGGGGCATAAAAAGCCTAAAAGATGAATCTTAAAAAAAGGATTATTCTTGTATTTTGTATCTTTTCTCATTGAATCGGAGTAATCCTTCATAAACCTGCTAAGAAAGGAGTTACACATACAGTCCTTAGGCCAACAACAGTTAATGCATGAAGGGCTGTTTTTTTCCCATAACATTTGATGTCTCTGTGTGTTTCTGCAGACGTCCAGGTGGTGAGTAAAGAAGAGCAGCAGGAGTGGAGCCCCAGTCTGGACCAGGAGGACACTAAGCCCCCACACATTAAAGAATAACATGAGGAACTGTGGATTAGTCAGGAGGAAGAACAGCTTCAAGGACTGGAGGAGGCTGATACCACCAAGTTCCCCTTCACTCCTGTCTCTGTGAAGAGTGAAGATGATGAAGAGAAACCTCAGTCCTCACAGCTTCATCAGAGACAAACTGAACAGATGGAAACAGGAGTTGATGGAGAGGACTGTGGAGGAGCAGAACCAGAGAGAGACTCAGATCCAGAGAGACGTTCACAACCAGAGACTGAGGTCGAGACTGAAGACTCTTATGAACCTGAGACTGATGACAGTGATGATTTGAAGGAGATAAGAGAAGATCAGTCAGCTTTAAAACATGTGGAAAAAAATGAAAAATAAACCAGCAGAATCTGATAAGAACCCTCACAGCTGCTCTGACTGCGGTAAAAAATTCAATAGCAAGTCGCTTCTGAGCAGACACAAGATGATACACATAGAAGAGAGAGCCTTCAGCTGCTCCGAGTGTGGCAAAACATTCACGAGAAAATGGCGAGTGAACAAACACATGAAAATTCATACAGGAGGAAAATGTGTGAGCTGCTCAGAGTGCGGTAAACGTTTTAGAAACCAGAAATATCTAAAAATTCACATGAAAGTTCACACAGGAGATCAAATATTAAGCTGCTCTGAATGTGGTAAACGATTTTCCCAAAATGGGCATCTGATCCAACACATGAGAATGCACACAGGAGAGAGACCATTTAGCTGCTCTCAGTGCGGTAAAAAATTTAGACAAAAGTGCACTCTGACAAATCACATGATCCTGCACACAAGCGAGAAACCCTTTAGCTGCTCTCAGTGCGGTAAAACATTTAGACACAAGTGCAGTCTGACAAAACACATGATCCTGCACACAGGAGAGAAACCCTTCAGCTGCAGGCTTTGTGAAAAAAGGTTCACTTGGCCATGCCAGGTAAAATTTCATAACTGTGTTGGTGTTCAGGCTTCAGAGCTCCGTGGAAATCAAAGAGAGGCAGACAGAGGAGCTAATGGAGAGGCCTGTGGAGGAGCAGATCAAGGGAGGCATTTAAGAACAATGACTGAGGTCAAGACTGAAGACTCTTCTGGAGCTGAGACTGAAGACAGTGATGATGACTGGAGGGAGACTGGAGAACTTCCATCAGTGATATGAAATGTACCACTGGTGAGAAACTACTGCTCTGAGTGTGCTGATACATTCAGTTAGCACCCCAAGAGACTCAAAAACTCGCACGAGAGAGAAACCATATAGTTGTTATTTTTTGTAGTCCCGTTTCTTTTAGAGATTTAAACGAGGTGTTATATTCCCCTTCCTCATTAGTCAATGCATTTTAAGACTGATTATTTCCTCAGCTCCTCCTTTAGCTTCTCCCTGCCTTTGATGTTTCTGGCGATGCAAAATAACATCTACTGTTTCCTGTTCCTGTCCACGATCACACAAACCTGACTGATGTTTACCTGTTAAGTGCGTCGTGTAATTTAACCCTGTGAGTCTTCGTCTCGTTAGGATTGTTTGCTTCCGCCTTGTTTTCACTCCTCTCACTTTGTGTTGAGTTTGATAAAGATGACGTCCTTCATGCTCTTCATCCCAGATCTCTTGCCAGGCAGACATGATTTTTTTACCTCCCTGATTGAATCTCTCATGTGGGCTGGTTTAGCCCTCTCCCCCTGTGAGCCACTGATACTAATGAACCTGACGACTGTTTGTGATTTCTGTCATCTAAAGAGGGAATCGTGTTTCATGAATTAAATCTAATCAGCATTGTGATGACTTAGACTGTAATGATACCAATGAAGATCATGATTTCTTTTTTCCAGCTCTCTTTTACTGATTTCAGTGAACTCTGACATCGTGTACTATAAGGTGCTTTTTATTTATTCATAAAATGTTTCAATAAACTTTTTAAAAATCTGACATGACTGTCTCTTTGACAACACTAGCCAAAGAGAACTTAGCACAAAACAAGACACAGAACAAAGCACAAAGCTGAACAGCATAAAAGCATAAAATACATCCATTATAAAACATTTTAGAGCTGACATGTATATGTATTGACCATCCATTGTTTTAGCTGCTTAGAAAAAGATTTGTTTGTGTTTAGGTGTCTGATATTTTCTGGGTTTGAATTCCACTGTCTTGAACTTCTGACGGACCAGGCTGACTGACTAAAAGAACTTTTTTGCAGCGGGATGACACAATCTCCTCTTGTCGATCCCCTTGTGACATGATCAGTACCAGTTCTTCTGTTGATGTAGGTGACAAGTGGTGGTGGAGCTAGATTGTGAGTAACTTTAAAAACCAAGCACATGTTGAAATATTTTATGACGTCTTCCCAGCTTAAAAGCTGGTACTTTTTAAAAATTGACCAGTGATTTTAGAGACATTTAGTTGCAGGCAACACTCTCTCAGCCATGTTGTAACCTGAGCCATGGATCTGGTGAGCTTATCTGCAACATCTGCCTTGGATCTGCCATGTACAAATAAAACAGTATCATCTCTGTACATTATGGTTTCAACCTCAGGACAAATAGATGGAAGGTCATTAATGTAAAGGCTGAACAAGAGGGGACCAAGAATGGATCCTTGCGGGACACCAGTAGGTAACTACACCAACTTGGATCTATGATTATTTATGGAAATTGACTTATATTAATAATATAAATAAAAAGATCATTAAAGTATGTGTTGTGTCAAATCCCAATTCATTCACAAGAGTACATTCACACTCTGATGCACTCCAAACCTCCAGAAAGCGACCAACACGGAGGAGAACGAGAAAGATGTGAGCGAGGCTGAATTACTTCCAAAGAAAGGGCACATAACGGAGGGCTGGACATTATAAGTGTCCCGCTGACCCAGATGAATGATTGACAGAGTCCATCTGATTGCACGTTCAGCTGGCGGCTTCACTGCTGTCCGTCCCACGAGCGCGCTCGCTGCACTCGAGTTGTACACTCACACAGATTTTAGCAGGTTTTCTCTGATAAAACACACATTTGGGAAAACAGTTTTAAAACCATCAGATCCCGACAAAAGCCGAGTTTAAATCAATATCCAAAGAAAACAAATCACCAGAAGACTCGAGAGTGACAGAATGACGAAAACAGAGAAAAGCTTGACAGACAGCTGGAGGAGCTGGAACACGTTACAGTTAAAGACTAGATCCTGGTAAAGATCAAAGTTATTCACAAAACATGTTAGCCCTTAAGAGAGCTCCTAAAGTAAAGATGTAAGGATGAAGAGTTTCTCACAGAGAAGAAAGAAGGAGAGATTCCAGATCTATCATAGCCTCATATTAACATCAGTAGACTCTTACAGCATGGTGAATAAACAGGAGCACATAAATATATGTTTATATTAGAGCTCAATTAATTTAATAAAAGTTGTAATTGATTTTTGCATGAGAATGGTTCAAGAGTAAATTGGTGACTGTTATTTTTAGAATCCAAAGTAATGTTCCTGAGCCAGTGATATTTTTTGTATACAGTGGAGATTCAGTTTTATAGGCTACATTTATAAACTTTAATACGATAAATATCGAGTCATATCGAATATCGACATTAGGCAAAAAAATATTGTGATATCAAATTTAGGCCAAACCTCCACATGCAAAATAAGTTGGTGGAACCCAAACTCTTAGAAAGTGCTCCTAGAGGGACCATATTCACCTGCGCACCCACTGGAAAGGCATGGCATGAAATGTTTGGAGGTAGCTCAGTTAGCCCTCTCACCTGCCCCTGGAAACAGGGCACGACCACAGCTCCTGATCAATCAGAAAATGCAACTGGTAGGAAAAAAAGAACTTTGAATGTGGATGATGTGTTGAGGTCATGCTTCTCCATGACTATTTGGTTGAATTAGTGAGTAAAATGCAGTTTAAGTTGGACAATTTTGGTTATGCTAAGTTAAGCTTATGTATTTTGTTTAAACCTTATGTGAACTTAATGATTAAGTATGTGTATTGTTACTTTAATCATTACATTGGTTTGAGATTCTAGGTTTATTTGAATAACTTTGTTTGAGAAACAAGTAACAGTAACATTTATTCTTTAGGAAAACTTTGAGGGGAAAATGTTTATTGGACTGTATTTGAGACAAATGTATGTCTTTTCTGTTTATCTTGAAGGTTATCAACCTATTTGATTCCCTCATATTCCATCATTCTGTTTACATCCATTGAAACCATCAAACCCAAAACCATCTTCAAGAAAATAAAAATCGAAGAATAAGAAGAATTGAGTTGTCCTTTGCATCCTTCAGCAGTTGATCAAGCAGTTTTTCAAGTTAGGGCAGAGTTGTGGTCACAATAACACGCAGAACTTGACAGTATGTTTAATCTCGTTTTGGGGCACCACCTTGTACTCAGGGAAATATAACCAAAATATCATTCAAATCAGTCACAAATTAGTTATTTAATTATTAATAACTATATTTAATAAATTGAAGGTGTGAAATCTGTACACAAAGCCTTCGCACCCAGCTTATATCACAATGCAAATACACCAGTAATCACAAACAACTGCTCTCTTAAAATTATAACAGAATTTATTTAAACAAAGCAACATCTCCTCCATGGGCTTGGTTCAGTCTCTCATCCTTCGTCTGAGGTTTCCTCAGCTGACATGGGGGCTGCAGTACTTGCCTGCCCATCCTGAATTCTGGGTACCGTGTCACGTCGTTTCTTCTGTTCGGCCATTTTGCTGCTTTCATGCAGTGTTTTATTCTCCTCCTGCAGGGCCTTGCAATTTTCCTGCAAGGTCTTTAGTTTACCCTGCATTCTTTTGAAGTCGTCCCACAGGATCTGTCCTTTTTCTTGTACCTTGGCTAGCTGTTCCCGTTGTATCTCATTCTGCCCATTTGATTTGCGCTGATAAAGGAGGAGAATTTCGCCTAGAACATCTGAAATTGTGCGTGTTGGCTTCCCAGTTGGTTGATTTGCATATTCAACCAAGCCCTTTAATTTCTCTTCACATGTACTGAGAGTGTAGGAGTTCAGACTGTCGAGCTGCTCTATAGGGAGGTGGATAAAATTAGCAACTACGTCTTGAATGGAACGATCGTCTGATCCGCAGGGAGCCCATCAGTAATGTGGGCTTTCCTCGCCCATACTGTCTATTGTTAGGAACAGGACTTTTGTGTACAGCCGACAAAGGGAAAAACCTCAGGTGATGAGTAAGCTTAGCCTGAGCGCTAGTTACTACAATCTATTTTTATGAGGAGATTTCACTCCTGTTGGTAAGCTGGTTTATGTGTTAGCTACACAACAAGCTCAATTGTTGTCTGAACAACAAAGAGGACAATGGGTATTACCTTACCTATTGACCAACAACATACGACTAAGTCACAGCTTAATGTCTGCTTTGAATAAACAATCAAGCAAAAACTGACTCTTCAAAAGAAAAGATAAATTTCTCAAAGATCTCTTTTAGGATTAAAAGTTCGGATTACTGTGCATTTACAGTGCAATAAAGCTGGTTTATTTAAGGCCTCACACGGGGCACCATTTGTTGGGGTTGTATCAAGTCAACTTTGGTTATGTTCTTTAATAATTATATTGAATTATTAATAAATACCTCAGGTCCCCTCCAATGTGGAGAGAGAGGTTCCGGTCCCCCCCCCCTTACTTCACGCATCGGTGTGAAGTACTACAGAGACTCAGAGCTCCCGTTCATCGAACGTATCACTCACTGACTGAGAGAGAGACTCAGAGCTCCCGTTCAGTGAACGAATCACTCACTGACTGACTGAGAGAGAGCTCCCGTTCAGAATCAGTACACACGAATCACTTTCACCACCCGTTTTTCATTTTGTAGGTTTCACTACGCAAATAAATGTTAGGCTATTAATTATTTTTAATTAGATAAAATGAAAACAATAAAAAAAAAGTGAGAAACATGAATTACAGTGCAATTTAAAAAAAACCTCAAGATTAAAAAAAAAACAATAGGCAATCAAAAAGAAAGTACAAAAAAGTAAATATAGACTAAAATCGAGTGAGGGGGTTTGAGGTCCTGGGCACTAGAGGCTCCTCTATAAATGCACGGACCTCTAGCACAGAATCTGCAGTTGGATTGCGACTGCTTGTCACAAGCCCAAAGACCTGCTCATCAAACTCTTTCCAGACTGCACTCTCCTGTGTGGAGCTCCCCGCTTGTGCTTCTGCTCCCTCTTCTTCTCCTTCAGCCTGCTGATTGGGGAATGTCATCCTTGCTGCGGAATTGCAGAGGCGAAGAAACACATTGTCAGCGGCCTCATCCTGCCGAAAGGCCTTCTTCCTGAACCTCGGGTCAAGTGCTGCTGCCTCAGAGAGTAAAACATGGGACTCTATTTTATGGAACCGGTGAGACATTTGGGAACACATGTTGTCCACCAATTTCCTCACCGGTTCACTGAGGTTTCCTGCAGCTCGTTGGTGGCTTGATGTAATCTTTTGAAGACCTCTTGCCAAAAGGATGACTTTTGAAGCTGTCACATACCTGAGTGAAAGAGAAAGAAGGATTAGGCCTCTTAGTGATAATCATATGCATGTTGTTATTATTAATATCAGTATAATTAATACTAGTAATTACACAAAAATTTCGGTTCGATACGGTTCCAAGTTTTGAAGCTTTGGTTAGGTAACTTTTCGGTACAGTAAAGGGACCTGATGCAACACCTTTTTCTCTTTATTAGGAACATTTAGAATTTCCTTTTTACACATTGGGCTAAGTGCAGTATCGATAGTTCAGACTTGTACACCTGCTCAGGTTACTTTTTAATAACATTTTAAATTAAACATTGTAAAAAAAAAAATATATATATATATATATAAACTTATGCTGCATCCTTCAACCAAAAGAGTCTCCAATAAATAAAAGATATGAATGAAATAAAATATTTTAGAATGAAATGAAGTAATTAATATAGCCTATATG